AAACCGATATGACAGAAAATTCAATTGCCTCATTCAAATCTTCAAAAATTCACCGACCAAGAACCGAAAATCCAGTTAAACCAATCACATTGGATGATTTTCCTTAATATGGAAAATCTGAGATTTTTTTTGAACTGATCATTACGATAGCTAAAATTGTAACTAATCAAACATTGAACAAATCTGGAGCTAAAGATGAAAGAAACACAAACAAACAATAAAGTGAGAAAAACGAACGAATGTGAAAAGAGCGAAATTCCTTGTCGTCGATTCGCTTTCAGCCGTTGTGCGGTTAGTGACAAAACCATCGATTCGGTGACTAGCAGAGATCTTACGTCAGATTGTGCTGATGATACAAACGCTGTGTATTTATCAAGTTGAGTACTATAGAACGACACGATTCTACCCTGAAATCTTTCCTACTATAAGCACCCCAACACTTGAACACCTTAAACATTTATTATGATGAATTTATTATATCATTCTTATTCTAAATTATTCTGAAGAATATTCTGGAGAATTTTATATTCTGAAGAATCATTTTCTACCTTTTAAAAGCTCCATTTCACATAAACTAAAAACTTCTAAGATCACATAATTTTCAACAACTAGACTTACTTTAATTCTAGTGTCATGGGTTTCGTTTGAAAGCGAATTCGGTCTCGAAATGAGCAAATCACATCAATAAAATTCTGGTGTTCATTCGATCTGCTTGCAGATTGATAACTTTGGGCACGAGAAGAAAACAATGAATCGTTTGTGAGAAGTCGGAAAACATGGAAATATTGAAATGAAACAAAAAGATAACTGACCGCACTATTGCCCGACCATAACAGTTCTTCATAGGGGTCAAACGTCAGCGCTGTAATCGGACTAGTTAGTGACGATGCTGTGTTTGACGACGTATGACTGAGTAATGCGAAGCCGCCTTCTGGGATCGGCACTGGTGTGTTAGACTGAAATTTTCGACAGGATTATTCTCAGGTCTTGCTTCGATCTCAACTTATGGTGATACTTTTCCTGAACTTTACACTTCTCGATGTATTTTTCTAATTATTCGATAAGAAACGTGAGAATATCAGTAGTGTATATTCCAAAAACTTGATTGATTCGGTGGAATCACTGAACTGCAAACGAAGATATGATAACATTTGGTTATATGATATCTAGTTGTTCGAATATAACATTTGAATATTGCCCTCTTTATGAAACTTTTATAACAATGGCAACTTAATAAAAATATTTCAATTAAAATTCTGAATCTTTCACCCGAACAACCTCATCACTATATCGGTGATTGAGCTTCATATTTCAATGATGCTTTCAATTAACTTGCTTATAAGGTCACTCTGAGGTAATATTCGACAATTCGACGATATTATTGAGTTCACAAAAATGAAACCCACATTATCAGTTGGTAGATCAATGACAACTTGATCGCCACCGGCTGTAGGTGGTTCGAACATCACCGAATCTTTCTGCCCAACACAAGGGCTGCCTAGAATTAAGATTTTCGTCATAAAGCATCTCTCCAAAAAAAACAGAAAAAAGATTCTTTCAACGAACAAACAACCGTAAATAATAGTTAAAATGTGAGCAAAATTGCGAAACTCAAATCACGCTGTTTTGGCACATAAGAATCCGCTGTGAGTAGCTCATAAAATCATAGATGCAGAAGTCAAGCAGTAACTTATGAAGATTTCTTGGCCCTGTCCGGAAAAAAATGAACAATTTGAAACCGTTTAATTCAAAGGCTCAAGCAGAAGCTTTCCAATGCATCGGAATATTTCAACTAGATAAACCCATGGCTAGAATCTCTCAGGATTACCAGTACCAAATCAAAACAACGAATCATCTTTCATAAGAATTTTTCAAATCATCACTGTTTAATTCTCAAAATGAGAGGTGCCATGTCTAGCTAACATACACCAATCAAAACTCCTCTCATCAATAATAAATTGAAACTAAATTTTCCACTTCAAATCACATATTCATCAAAAACACACAAATATTCTTTGATCATCTGATTTTTCTACCAAAAAAAAGAACTCGACAAAACAATATCAAAGATAGATTTCTAAGTTCAAAACAGTGATGTTCGATAGATGAATGGCTGTTTGATATGTTCCATTTGAGCAGTGAACAGCTGAGAAATTTACTCGTTTGTTGATCATCACTGAAGAAAGTGTTGTTGGATTTGTTCAATGCTTACTGCATTTTGCAGTAATCCACTGAATATATCAATCAAACCGAAGGCATTTTTTTGCCAAGCAAAAAATGTCTATGGAAAATTGAGATCACTGAAATTTGAAAGCTCGATTGCGAAAAGCGGATTTCGCCGCACTATGGAAATGAAGTTGAATGACATCGTGGAAACTAATGCAACTCAATAGTTTTATGCCTCACAAAAGTGAGACGGCACTGTAGGAGAGATCTTTGAATCAGTATCTTTGATGATTCAATTCGAGTGAGTATCTTCGAATTCAGAAGATGATTTCAGACTGAGACCAGTGTGTTTTGGGCATAAAAATCATTGGGTTGACTCCGAGTACAGTGTTGAATTGCACAGCATTAAAGTTTAAGCACATAGGATGAGTGGAACAATTGCTTTGAATCCATTTGATCAAATTA